GGAGAGAATTGAACAACAGCAGATGAGGTAGAGAGGGAAGATAGGAGGGGAGGGGAGGGGGGATAGTAGGGGATAGGAAAGGCAGCAGAATACAACAGTCACTAATATGCCATTATGTAAAAATGTGTGTAACCGATGTGATACTGCAATTTGTATTTGGGGTAAAAATGGGAGTTCATAACCCAATTGAGTCAAATGTATGAAAGATGGTATATCATGAGCTTTGTAATGTTTTGAACCAATAAAATAAATAAATAAATAAATAAAATGACTGTGATCTAAATGTAAAATGGGAAACTACAAAACTCCTAGGAGATAACACAGAACTGACCTTGCTGGTGGCTTTCTAGATAGCAACACCCAGAGCACCACAATCCACAGAGATCGGATAAGCTGTGCTTCATGCAAATTGAAAATGTTTGTGCTGTGAGAGCTGCTCAAAGGAATGAAAAGACAAGCCACAGACTGGGAGAAAATATTTGCAAAGACACACAGGACTGCTATCCAAAATATACAAAGAACTCTCAAAACTCAACAATAAGAAAACAAACAACCCAATTAAAAAACGAGCCAAAGGTCTTAGCAGGCACCTCACCCAAGAAGATGCAGGGACGGCAATTAAGCACCTACAAAAGGTGCTTCACCTGGCTCATCCTGAGGGAATGCAAACCAGAACCACAGAGAGACCACAACCACCTCCTCCAAAGGCCAAGACAGAACACGGACCGCACCAAAAGCTGGCGAGGATCTGGAAAGCAAGATGGCACAGCCCCTCTGGAAGGTGTGCGGTGGCTTCCCACAACCTGGGCGCGCTCTTTCTGCACCATCTAACAATCGCGGCACCCGGGGCGATCACCCAGGAGAGCTGTGAATGTGCATCTCCACAAAACCTGCCTCGGAGTCGGCAGCAGCTTTATTCCTAGGCGGAGGCCACCGAGCCACCCCAGGGCAGGTGAGAGGGTCAGTAACTGAACTAGGGAACAGCATCAGCGCCAGAAAGAAAGGAGCGGTCAGGACGTGGCGACGAGGAGGAAGCCAAGCACACCGCTGGACGAAGGGGCCAACCTGAAGTGTGCGTCCCCAACACAGGACATCCGGAAAGGGGAGAGCCACAGGGACAGTACAAAGGCCAGGGCCAACTGGTGGGCACAGCGGATTGCTCTACATGACAGCAATGGTGGACACATGTCCTCGGACACTCATCCTAACTCAGAGTGCTCAACACCAAGAGGGACCCTGAGGTGAACCACGGGCTTTGGGTGATGACAAAACTGCTCCTTAAAAGTCAATTTTCCAAAAAAACTAATTGTTTCACCATTTAGGCCCTGTTTAGATTAACTGACCAAATCGTCTGGAGAAAGTGCAGTCTATACCACACAAGCAAAGAACTCCAGGACCATCACTGTGGGACGCTGCAGCCAGGTCAAGGCAGGACGCGACTCATGCTACCCAGTCTTCTTTACAGGAGCACTGTGCCAATGCCAACTCATTTACGCCTGCTAACCACCTGGAAGACATGATCATGGTTACTGTTCCCATTTTACAGCCCAAGAAACCGAGGCACAGGTGTTCAATGGGGAACTGAGATGCGGCAGGTAAAGCAGGACTCAGACCCAGCCTGTCCAGCCCCGAGAGGCCAGTCCCCTTCTTACCACCAAGTAAAAGGGGCTCCTGGGGTCAGCGCTCAGGGTGAACTGCCTCAGAACAAGCAAACACCACCTGGCCCCTCTCCTGTCACTGCCTACCACACGAGGCCCTCATCTGGAAAGCCAGGGCTTCTCAGCTGTGGCGCACGCCATGGCGCACTGACCAGATCCGTCTCTGCGGTCCCAGCAGCAAACCTGGCCCCACAAGTGAGATGCCACTTGTGCCCCTCCCCCACAGTGACAACCAGACATTGACGGAGGTCACAGGGAGAGGGACAGGCAGTCGCCCTTGGTCAAGAGTCACTGGGTGAAGCCAGACACCGTGGATAGCCGTGGAGATGGCCAAGGCGGGTGTGGCCAGTCTTGCAACAGTGAGAAACCGGAGGAAAAAAGAAAACCACGAGAAAGGCAGCCGCGGTCTCCACAGAGTGGACAGACACAGAAGAAAGGACGAGCGGTGGTGAAGGGGGGACAGTGACACGGTTTATTCTCAGGTTTGAAAGTGAGGACAGCAGACACACTGGACAGCGAGAGCCGCGGGGCCCAGCGCGGACAAGGACACGGTGGCGGTGGGGGTCGCAGCTCCCAGCGCTCCTCTCTCGGGCCTCGGGGCAGCGGCTACTTACTCTTGTTGTTACTGCTCTCACTGACCAAGTCTTCAGAGGCGTCTGTGTCGTCCTCGTCATCTCCGGACGAGAGGGCATCTGTATGCAAGAGAACACATCCAGGCCTGTGTTTCTGCCCAGCCAAGGGCCGCCGTCACCACCGCCAGCCCCGCGCCGGGCTGAGCTCACCACCCAGGAACCACCAAGCCTGAGACCACGTTGGGTCGCTTTTAATGGCTTAAATGGTCCCTCTGGAAGGACAGTGGGTCTCTGTTGGGATTCGACGCCTCCTGCTCCCGGGCTATTTAAACACACCGTCAGGGTGGATCTGCTGGAACTGGATTTTAAGCTTCTAACAACATTCAAGTCCCCAGCAAATTTACTGATTATGTGACAGCCAGCGACTCCTTTCCTCCCCAAGAGAAGCTTTCCGCATTCGGGGACCCCTTCCAGAAAGAAATGGGTCCCTCACAAAACGTAATCCCTGTGTGGCCCTTCTCGTTATTAACATTCTGAACTTGACCACAGACAACTCTGACCTTGGCCCCAAAGGGGGCTTGTTCGGTTCCCCACCTCACATGGAAAGAAAGCTGAGAGGAACTCATATTTTAATGAAGGAATCAGAAATTCGGAGCTTCCAGATTTCAGTCCTATATTCAAAATGCCAAAGATGTTGGTGGCATAAAGAGAAACAAGACTTATTAACAGTAAAAGTGTGCTGTCTGAAGACGTTGCCTTGCACACAAGATCTCGGTCATTCATAATGATGGGCCTCTCAGAGGACCAGGTCCCACCATAAGAATTTCAAAAACGGGTCATCCGGGTGGGGTGACACGCACCTATAGTCCCAGCTACTCAGGAGGCTGAGGCAGGAGGGTCACTTGAGCCCAGGAGTTCAAGACTAGCCTGGACAACACAGCAAGACCCGATCTCAAAAAGTAAATAAATAATTTTTTAAAAACTGATCAATAACAAACTCTGAAGCTGTGTGCCCCACAGCCAGCCAACTAGCAGATGTCACTATGATTTCACTAGGCAAAAAAAGTAAAAAAATCAACTTTAACCAGGAAACAGCCAGAGAAGAGGGCGCAGCCTGCAGGCCAACTCACCTGTGACATTCACCATGAAGTACCAAGTCTCACTGTCTACAGTCCTAGCGGCAGAACAAGCATAGAGGCCGGAGTCTCTAGGTGTGGCGCTTTTGACCTGCAAGTACTCCCCAATAAGCACTGTCCTATTGCTGGGCCCCAAGTGAACCCCATCCTTAGTCCAACTGATGGCGGCGGCATCTTTCAACAGGCAGCGCAGCTCTAGCGCCTCCCCTGGCGCGGCCACGTACACTTCGGGTTGGGAGATTTGGTATTTGGTTGGTGGCTCTGCAGAAAGTGGGAGAGAGAGACAGAGACAGATGGGACAGAGCGGGAGGAGAGAACGTCCAACACGGTCAGTGGGGCCCTCCGTTCCAGGAGGAGCCGTTCCTGTCTGACAAATGGCCCCGGGAGGCGTCCGTCTCTCCCCGCACCCCAGGAAGCCAGGAAGCAGCCCACGCTCCAGGGTGGACTGGGGCAGACTGAGCCCCGAAACAGCAGCCAGAGGAAGCACCCAGCTCCGGTTCCACAAGCTGAAGGTCTTTAGAAGCAAACCAGAGCCCCGCCTGGAAGGATGTGCCACGGGACCGTGCCGAAGCCGACCGCCAACCTGAAGCCTGCTCGGCCGTCCCCCTGGGAAAGCCCGTTTCCGTGGCACTTCCCGTGGGTAAGAGAGTCGCTGGCCCTTACCAATGCGTTGATCTGACGGACTATGTGCGTCGCTCTCCCTCGCGCTCTACTTATCTATTCATATGTGCCACACTTGGCCTCTGATTGTGAAACCAAGTTCCTTAAAATGAAACGCCTCAAATTCAAGGGAAACCAACCGTCCCCTGGAGAGAGATCCGGTACAGAGCTATTGCTGGTCAGGAGGGTGCTGGGCTAGGCTGGACATGCCCAGAGGCCTTGAGACAAAACTAAAGAGCAGAATGTCCACGGCTGAGAGGGGGCTGTGCCACACTGACCCTGGACGCCTCTTATTCCACGTCACATGGCCCAACCCCACCTGCCACCCACCCTACCCCACTCATCCAGGTCCTCAGCCTCCGGCTTCCTGTGCCTCTCTCTTCTTTGGGGGTATCCCTTCCTCTCTCTCATCCCTGTTCAACCCGACTCTCCTTCAACCCCAGATCAAGGGCCCTCCACAGAAGCCCTGGACCAGTCACCTGGCCAGAGGGAAGTGGCCCTGCCCCTCACTGTACACCTGCCCGCCTTCTCGCTCCTGGGATGTACATATTTCTCATGAGCGCGTCCCGCCTCCCCAGGACACACAAAGCTGCCAGAGAGGGACACAGTCTTGTGGATCAGTGTGTCCTCCCACTCACCCTCGGGCCTGTGGCATACACAGGGACAGCAGGACTGAGCATATCACAGCCCCCAGAGACACAGGGCAAGATGGAACAGACCCAAGAGGATCCCACCCACGTTCACTTCCCCAAGTGGAGAGGAGGGAGGAAGCTGCTGGCCTCTAAGAACAGCCAAGGCCACCAGGGGCTGGCCACGAGGTCCGTGAAGCGAGCTTTCATCCCCGCAGCGAGGGCTGTGAATGGTACACAGAGCCCCAGGCCTGGAAAACACAAAGCCTCCTTCCCAGCACTGGACGGCTCCAAAGCTGGGCAGTGTCACAAGGCGATTGTTTTGCCCAGAGTCCACTCAGGACACATCTCCCACATGACCGAGATACAGTCCGTCCACGCCTCGGTCCCCACTCCCAAGAAGCATCTGATCCACGAACCGCGGCCACCACCACCAGCCCACCTGGGGACCCCGGCCTTCCATGGGGCCCCACCAAGAGGGGCCCAAATGTTGAACAGACTGGAACACAAGGGTCCGGGGGACACAAAGACCCCGACATGGTGCAGAAAGAGCCCCACTGGCAGGCGGGCTTCCTATCAAAGGCTTGTTTTCCTCTCGCACAGCTCCTTATTGAACACCCCCGGGGGCCACGTTTTCTTCTGGACCCTCCGGAAGCAACACAGGAACCTGCCCTCGTGGGGCTTACACTGTGGTGGGGGTGACAGAGGGGACATATAAATCTACAAAAGGATATAAAGTGTGTGAGGTGGTCTTCAGCAGGGGAAAGAACACAGCAGGACAGCAGCCCACACAGAAGTGGCAGGTGAGGGCTCCATCCAGGGCAGGAACTGGCCAGCGGTGGTCCAGGGGCCAAGCCAGCCACGGCCTGCTTTTGTCAACCGTGTGCCTGGGGCCCGGCCACCCTCACAGGCTCCGCACTGCCCGGGCTGACCCGTGGCCTGCAGGTGCGGCTCCTGTGATGGGAGACGATCAGAGACACTCCTCCAGGAGCGGCCACTTGGGCTGAGAGGCAAAGGACAAAGGGAAAGATGTTGGGAACTCGGTGGGAAGGTTCTCAGATAGGATCTTCCAGGATGGAGCTGAACTGAGGCACTAACAGAAACGCTCAGAAGTTGGGACTCTGAGCTGAAAAGGGAGAGGAGGAGAACTATAGGAGGGACGGCGGACCACCTGTCACTCCACTCCCTGGGCCAGGTATGGTAGTGTGTGCCTGTACTCCCAGCTACAGCCACTCAGGAGGCTGAGGTAGGAGGACTGCAAGTAAGAGGCCAGCCTACGCAACTTAAGACTCTGTCTCAAAAAAATAGAAAAAGAATGTTCTGGAATTTGCTTTCCTCTGAGCCAGAATGTGTCCTCAAGGATTCCTGAGCAGGGAAGCAGCTAGGTCAAATCACAAAACTTCCCTCCTTGAAAGGAGAGGCGACAGACCCTCGTGGCCCATCTGCTCTGTCCTGTCCCTCAGATAAGGGGAGGCCACGGACCTACTCCATGTCATAGAATGCTCGCAGACGACATGAGAGGGAAGAAAGATAAGCAAGGCATTTGCAATTACAGAAAAATCCCTCTCCTGAGAAAATACAATTATGATTTCTCAGCCTTTAAGTTAGGAATCTCAGTTTGGAGAATCCCTTTCTTCGTGTGAACTCAATGAACCACAAAGTCTTACTGAAACCAGGGGTGTCCCCATGACGGGAACAATGTCACCAAAACACATCCCCACCTGCCAGTTAAGCAAGGTCAGAGAATATTACTCAGCAATGAGAGAGAATAAAATCATGGCATCTGCAGGTAAATGGATGGAGGTTAGAGAAGATAATGCTAAGTGAAGTTAGCTGATCCCAAATAACCAATGCTAAATGTTTTCCTTGATAAAAGGAGGCCGATTCATAGTGGGATAGGGAGAGGGGGCATGGGAGGAATAGATGAACTCTAGATAGGGCAGAGGTTGGAGGGGAAGGGAGGGGGCATGGGGTTATAAATGATGGTGCAATGTGATGATCATTACTATCCAAAGTACAGGTATGAAGACACGAATTGGCGTGAATATACTTTGAGTACAACCAGAGACATGAAAAACTGTGCTCTATATGTGTAATAAGAACTGTAATGCATTCCACTGTCATATAAAAAATAAAAACAAAACAAGGGACAGAGTCTTGTTCTGGGTTGGACACGAGATGATGGGTTCTGGGGTGCTACCCTGGGGGCAAAGAAGATGACACCCTGGGACTCTCCATCCAGCCACAGGCTCCCCAATGAAGAGCAGGGGGGCCCAAATATCCAGCCACTATTTGTGAGGCTCCAGGGAGGCTCCCCGTGTGGACCTGACCTTCCAACTATAACCCACCGAGTGGATGACAGCACATCACGGTGACCCTCCAGAGACACTCACCACCACTGGGAACACCAGTGTTCAAAGGACAGAGAACCTCTGGATTCGACATCAAGACACAAAGCGACTTCAGGCTGGGCTCCCGTCTCTGTGGACAGTTAGGGTGTCTTCAGGTACCAAAAATGGATCTTATTTCCATTAAACCCAGGTCAAAACTGTCATCCATTTTCCAGTGACATCATAAACCACAAGCACAGTAAACTCTCTCTGCTGAATGCATCAGTAAGATAATGATGTTTATCCATAAAATCGAGCCGTGACAACTTTAAAGGCAAACTCAGAAGACATCTCTCCTCCTCCCTGAGCTAGGCAACAGGCCCTCCCACCGGAGCTCTGCAGTGTTTGCCACACCCTGGGCATCCCAGGCAGACTCCAGCACAGGCTAGAAGAAGAGGGGATACATGAAGACAGGCACAGGAAGGGGACAGCAGGAGGGACAGGCTGAAGCTGTAAGGAGAGGGGAGGGCCAGAACGCCAACCAGTGACCCAGCTCGCAGGTCCCTGCCCAGGGGCACACAGTAGAGACCACACAGCTGGCCCTGCTGAAGCTACCCTGTTCCTGTCCCGCCTTAAGGCCATTTGCTTTCTTGGGGCTTTGGCTTCTGTGTGTGACTGCTTCAGGTGGCCCCAGAGCCCACTCCCTCTAAGTAGCGTGACCAAATCCCCTCATGCTGCTCTGGGAGGGGCCAAGACAATCTGCTCATCTGCTGGAACCAGGGGTGCGTGCCCGCCACACCCCACCTGCCACCCCAACCTGGACTGCCCGCCACTAACGCAGGCCACTCCCTCCCTGACTCCGCCTCGCTGCATGGCCTGCTCTGTGAAATATGACAGTTGACACAGGGCAAGGAGCTCCCTGGGAAATCTAAACAATGCCTTTTATAGCAATATCAACATTTCCTGGATTTGGTGTTTCTGATGCTGCAGCACACAGTTCACCTCTCCCAAGGCCCACAGCCTCACCTTGCGCCTCTGTCCTGCCAAAATGCAACAGGAAGAAGGTTCCAGAAGCCACTCTGCTCACACCACATGCTCTTCCAGGGGGTTCCACAGACAGAGGGCTTGTCCCCACATAGTTTCCATAATATAAACTGAAATTCAAAAGGGAGCAAGCAAGCAAGCTGGGATGAACCCTGGGCATTCTTTGTCATGTTACCTAAAACTGCTCAACAAACAAGGTGACAAGTTTACTTTCTGGGCGGGCTCGGCGCTCTGGCTTCCACCTGCTGCAAGCGCATGGGCACCAGGCACTGCTGCCCAGGAGCGGGGACCGGGTGGCCTTCTCCCCCAGCTTCCAACGCTGGAGAAGCTGGCAACTGGTTCAGCTGGGGCGGGCTCAACAAGTAGGCTGCTCTGAGAGTCAGAAAGAGCGAGGGAAACATCCCCAAGAGTCACCCACATGGGCCTATGACTCTGCCCTCCTCGAGAACTCCCTCAGTCCCATGCTCCTCCAAAATTCCAGTGGGAAATTGGAAATAAGGGGTCTCCAAGCAGGGAGAGGGACACTGAGGCAGGGTCTCATGACTCTCCCAGGCCCTCAGCAGATCCAGGGAGAGGTCCTGACCTGTGGGTGAGACCT